TGTTTCTCTAGTCTCTCTCTCTCTGGTCTCTCCCTGGTGTTTCTCGTGTCTCTCTCTCTCTGGTCTCTCCCTGGTGTTTCTCGTGTCTCTCTCTCTCTGGTCTCTCCCTGGTGTTTCTCGTGTCTCTCTCTCTCTGGTCTCTCCCTGGTGTTTCTCGTGTCTCTCTCTCTCTGGTCTCTCCATGGTGTTTCTCTAGTCTCTCTCTCTCTGGTCTCTCCCTGGTGTTTCTCTAGTCTCTCTCTCTCTGGTCTCTCCCTGGTGTTTCTCGTGTCTCTCTCTCTCTGGTCTCTCCCTGGTGTTTCTCGTGTCTCTCTCTCTCTGGTCTCTCCCTGGTGTTTCTCGTGTCTCTCTCTCTCTGGTCTCTCCCTGGTGTTTCTCGTGTCTCTCTCTCTCTGGTCTCTCCATGGTGTTTCTCGTGTCTCTCTCTCTCTGGTCTCTCCCTGGTGTTTCTCTAGTCTCTCTCTCTCTGGTCTCTCCCTGGTGTTTCTCGTGTCTCTCTCTCTCTGGTCTCTCCCTGGTGTTTCTCTAGTCTCTCTCTCTCTGGTCTCTCCCTGGTGTTTCTCTAGTCTCTCTCTCTCTGGTCTCTCCCTGGTGTTTCTCTAGTCTCTCTCTCTTTCTCTGGTCTCTCCCTGGTGTTTCTCTAGTCTCTCTCTCTCTGGTCTCTCCCTGGTGTTTCTCGTGTCTCTCTCTCTCTGGTCTCTCCCTGGTGTTTCTCTAGTCTCTCTCTCTTTCTCTGGTCTCTCCCTGGTGTTTCTCTAGTCTCTCTGTCTTTCTCTGGTCTCTCCCTGGTGTTTCTCTAGTCTCTCTCTCTTTCTCTGGTCTCTCCCTGGTGTTTCTCGTGTCTCTCTCTCTCTGGTCTCTCCCTGGTGTTTCTCTAGTCTCTCTGTCTCTGGTCTCTCCCTGGTGTTTCTCTAGTCTCTCTCTCTCTGGTCTCTCCCTGGTGTTTCTCGTGTCTCTCTCTCTCTGGTCTCTCCCTGGTGTTTCTCTAGTCTCTCTCTCTCTGGTCTCTCCCTGGTGTTTCTCGTGTCTCTCTCTTTCTGGTCTCTCCCTGGTGTTTCTCGTGTCTCTCTCTCTCTGGTCTCTCCCTGGTGTTTCTCTAGTCTCTCTCTCTCTGGTCTCTCCCTGGTGTTTCTCTAGTCTCTCTCTCTCTCTGGTCTCTCCCTGGTGTTTCTCGTGTCTCTCTCTCTCTCTGGTCTCTCCCTGGTGTTTCTCGTGTCTCTCTCTCTCTGGTCTCTCCCTGGTGTTTCTCGTGTCTCTCTCTCTCTGGTCTCTCCCTGGTGTTTCTCGTGTCTCTCTCTCTCTGGTCTCTCCCTGGTGTTTCTCTAGTCTCTCTCTCTCTCTGGTCTCTCCCTGGTGTTTCTCTAGTCTCTCTCTCTCTCTGGTCTCTCCCTGGTGTTTCTCTAGTCTCTCTCTCTCTGGTCTCTCCCTGGTGTTTCTCTAGTCTCTCTCTCTTTCTCTGGTCTCTCCCTGGTGTTTCTCTAGTCTCTCTCTCTCTGGTCTCTCCCTGGTGTTTCTCGTGTCTCTCTCTCTCTGGTCTCTCCCTGGTGTTTCTCTAGTCTCTCTCTCTCTGGTCTCTCCCTGGTGTTTCTCGTGTCTCTCTCTCTCTGGTCTCTCCCTGGTCTCTCTCGTGTCTCTCTCTCTCTGGTCTCTCCCTGGTGTTTCTCTAGTCTCTCTCTCTCTCTGGTCTCTCCCTGGTGTTTCTCGTGTCTCTCTCTCTCTGGTCTCTCCCTGGTGTTTCTCTAGTCTCTCTCTCTCTCTGGTCTCTCCCTGGTGTTTCTCTAGTCTCTCTCTCTCTCTGGTCTCTCCCTGGTGTTTCTCTAGTCTCTCTCTCTCTCTGGTCTCTCCCTGGTGTTTCTCGTGTCTCTCTCTCTCTGGTCTCTCCCTGGTGTTTCTCTAGTCTCTCTCTCTCTCTGGTCTCTCCCTGGTGTTTCTCTAGTCTCTCTCTCTCTCTCTGGTCTCTCCCTGGTGTTTCTCTAGTCTCTCTCTCTCTCTGGTCTCTCCCTGGTGTTTCTCGTGTCTCTCTCTCTCTGGTCTCTCCCTGGTGTTTCTCTAGTCTCTCTCTTTCTCTGGTCTCTCCCTGGTGTTTCTCTAGTCTCTCTCTCTCTGGTCTCTCCCTGGTGTTTCTCGTGTCTCTCTCTCTCTGGTCTCTCCCTGGTGTTTCTCTAGTCTCTCTCTCTCTGGTCTCTCCCTGGTGTTTCTCGTGTCTCTCTCTCTCTGGTCTCTCCCTGGTCTCTCTCGTGTCTCTCTCTCTCTGGTCTCTCCCTGGTGTTTCTCTAGTCTCTCTCTGTCTCTCTCTGGTCTCTCCCTGGTCTCTCTCGTGTCTCTCTCTCTCTCTGGTCTCTCCCTGGTGTTTCTCTAGTCTCTCTCTATCTCTGGTCTCTCCCTGGTGTTTCTCTAGTCTCTCTCTCTCTGGTCTCTCCCTGGTGTTTCTCGTGTCTCTCTCTCTCTGGTCTCTCCCTGGTGTTTCTCTAGTCTCTCTCTCTCTGGTCTCTCCCTGGTGTTTCTCGTGTCTCTCTCTCTCTGGTCTCTCCCTGGTCTCTCTCGTGTCTCTCTCTCTCTGGTCTCTCCCTGGTGTTTCTCTAGTCTCTCTCTCTCTCTGGTCTCTCTCGTGTCTCTCTCTCTCTGGTCTCTCCCTGGTGTTTCTCTAGTCTCTCTCTCTCTCTGGTCTCTCCCTGGTCTCTCTCGTGTCTCTCTCTCTCTGGTCTCTCCCTGGTGTTTCTCTAGTCTCTCTCTCTCTCTGGTCTCTCCCTGGTGTTTCTCTAGTCTCTCTCTCTCTCTGGTCTCTCCCTGGTCTCTCTCGTGTCTCTCTCTCTCTCTGGTCTCTCCCTGGTGTTTCTCTAGTCTCTCTCTCTCTCTGGTCTCTCCCTGGTCTCTCTCGTGTCTCTCTCTCTCTCTGGTCTCTCCCTGGTGTTTCTCTAGTCTCTCTCTCTCTCTGGTCTCTCCCTGGTCTCTCTCGTGTCTCTCTCTCTCTCTGGTCTCTCCCTGGTGTTTCTCTAGTATCTCTCTCTCTCTGGTCTCTCCCTGGTCTCTCTCGTGTCTCTCTCTCTCTCTGGTCTCTCCCTGGTGTTTCTCTAGTCTCTCTCTCTCTCTGGTCTCTCCCTGGTCTCTCTCGTGTCTCTCTCTCTCTCTGGTCTCTCCCTGGTGTTTCTCTAGTCTCTCTCTCTCTCTGGTCTCTCCCTGGTCTCTCTCGTGTCTCTCTCTCTCTCTGGTCTCTCCCTGGTGTTTCTCTAGTCTCTCTCTCTCTCTGGTCTCTCCCTGGTCTCTCTCGTGTCTCTCTCTCTCTCTGGTCTCTCCCTGGTGTTTCTCTAGTCTCTCTCTCTCTCTGGTCTCTCCCTGGTCTCTCTCGTGTCTCTCTCTCTCTCTGGTCTCTCCCTGGTGTTTCTCTAGTCTCTCTCTCTCTCTGGTCTCTCCCTGGTCTCTCTCGTGTCTCTCTCTCTCTCTGGTCTCTCCCTGGTGTTTCTCTAGTCTCTCTCTCTCTCTGGTCTCTCCCTGGTCTCTCTCGTGTCTCTCTCTCTCTCTGGTCTCTCCCTGGTGTTTCTCTAGTCTCTCTCTCTCTCTGGTCTCTCCCTGGTCTCTCTCGTGTCTCTCTCTCTCTCTGGTCTCTCCCTGGTGTTTCTCTAGTCTCTCTCTCTCTCTGGTCTCTCCCTGGTCTCTCTCGTGTCTCTCTCTCTCTCTGGTCTCTCCCTGGTGTTTCTCTAGTCTCTCTCTCTCTCTGGTCTCTCCCTGGTCTCTCTCGTGTCTCTCTCTCTCTGGTCTCTCCCTGGTGTTTCTCTAGTCTCTCTCTCTCTCTGGTCTCTCCCTGGTGTTTCTCTAGTCTCTCTCTCTCTCTGGTCTCTCCCTGGTCTCTCTCGTGTCTCTCTCTCTCTCTGGTCTCTCCCTGGTGTTTCTCTAGTCTCTCTCTCTCTCTGGTCTCTCCCTGGTCTCTCTCGTGTCTCTCTCTCTCTCTGGTCTCTCCCTGGTGTTTCTCTAGTCTCTCTCTCTCTCTGGTCTCTCCCTGGTCTCTCTCGTGTCTCTCTCTCTCTCTGGTCTCTCCCTGGTGTTTCTCTAGTCTCTCTCTCTCTCTGGTCTCTCCCTGGTCTCTCTCGTGTCTCTCTCTCTCTCTGGTCTCTCCCTGGTGTTTCTCTAGTCTCTCTCTCTCTCTGGTCTCTCCCTGGTGTTTCTCGTGTCTCTCTCTCTCTCTCTGGTCTCTCCCTGGTGTTTCTCGTGTCTCTCTCTCTCTCTCTGGTCTCTCCCTGGTGTTTCTCTAGTCTCTCTCTCTCTCTGGTCTCTCCCTGGTCTCTCTCGTGTCTCTCTCTCTCTCTGGTCTCTCCCTGGTGTTTCTCTAGTCTCTCTCTCTCTCTCTGGTCTCTCCCTGGTGTTTCTCGTGTCTCTCTCTCTCTCTCTGGTCTCTCCCTGGTGTTTCTCGTGTCTCTCTCTCTCTCTCTGGTCTCTCCCTGGTGTTTCTCTAGTCTCTCTCTCTCTCTGGTCTCTCCCTGGTGTTTCTCGTGTCTCTCTCTCTCTCTCTGGTCTCTCCCTGGTGTTTCTCGTGTCTCTCTCTGATTCCGTCTCCAAACTGGAGGAGACCAGGCCTTTTCCGTTGCTGCTCCCAGACTCTGGCATAGTTTCGTTCTTAAATTTAGTCTAAAAACACATTTGTGCCTCGACTTTTAACACCAACCGAGTTCTACTGTTTTCCGTGTGTTATATGTGTGTGTTATATGTGTGTGTTATATGTGTGTGTTATATGTTGTGTGTTATATGTGTGTGTTATATGTTGTGTGTTATATGTTGTGTGTGTGTTATATGTGTGTATTTCATGCTGTTTTCTTTTGCTTTTTTCCGACAGCTGCTGTTGTCGATGTAAATGTGCCATACAAACAAATCTGATATTGACAGTTATGAGCGTGGCCGTGTTGTGGTTTTGTCGTGTCTTTTTGGAGGCTTTCAGCTTTCACACGGACCACTCCCAGTTTCCATGAGAGCCACAGACCCGAGCTTTAGTCTGAGCTTTAGTCTGAGCTTTAGTCTGAGCTGAAAGAGCATGATTTCAAAGCCGTCTGGTCCTTTGTGGATGACGGAGGCCACACACCTGTTGCTGTGGTGCTGTCCGGGTCCAGGCCGTCGGTCCAGTCCAGAGCCGAGGTGGTGACGCAGCTGCAGCGAGATCTGAGCGCAGAAGGAAACGTCACTTTGGTTTGATTCTGTTTCAATCTGAAAAACTACACAGAGACAGAACAAGCTTTGAACGGTTCATTGATTTGTTTATTTTTGACGCCTTCGACCCCGACTGCGGCACTCGGTCCGAGAAGAATGTTATTTGTGTAACGCTTATGATCGTACCTCGGCCCCGGGGGGTCATACACCACAAGACACCACAAGACTTTGTCCACCGACTCCCACTGTCTGCTGTCGTTGTGTCCTTGGGCAAGACACTTAACCACTGAGAACACCAGCCACAGTGGGGCGGCTGCGGCTGTAAAGTGCCAAACTGTGTCTGTGTCCTTAGGCAAGACACTTCCCCCACATTAGAATGTGCCCCAGGGCAGCTGTGGCTACAGTAGTAGTTTATCACCACCGTGTATGCAGTGAAAGAATAATGATTTGAAGCGTCTTTGAGTGTTAAAAAAGTGCTATATAAAACTGATGCATTTTTATTATTATTGCTTTCACAATGGTGAATGCAAATGGTGCCAGTGCGTGACTGACGGGTCAGCGCCCGTCACTCCCCCCGACGTGACGGTTGCGTGCGTAAACTCAAACGCTTTAAAATGATGTATCACGTGCCATTGAAACCTATATTGTTTTTGCTTGAGACATCGAAAAAAAATTCCTTATTTCTTTCTTTCTTATTTCTTCTGCACTTTGAGCCTTAATTTGACCCCCTGAACATGCATGAAAAAAGACCTGGTGAAAAATTTGATATTTTGGTGTTTATTTTTATGTGACTCAAAAAATGACAGAACAGCGCCACCTACAACAGCCAAAATAATACCCCTATGGGAGTTTTGGAGATCAAGTTTGTTGTAGAGCCATGAAATTTGGTACACATGTTCCTCAAGTCAAGACAAGAATAAAATATTATAATGGCCCCGCCCCCTGACAAACAGGAAGCCCATAAATGTAACTGCAAAATGGAAAAATGAACAGCAAAAGTTTTCATACATGTCGGTTGGAAAGCGACTCCTCCTCGGCCGTTTCACCGATTCGCCTCAAAATCGCTCCACATCATCTCAACACATGTACCTTCGAAATGATCTCAGGGATTTTTGATCAGTGAAACGTTGTTTGAGCAGCGGAGCGGCAAAATGTGACCTTTTTTGGCCGTTTTTGACAACATTAAATTTGTTCCCGTTTGCACAAACAAAGTCTGATTCAGACATAACTTGAATCCAATGTTCAACTCTAGGGTTTAGGTCAGGTGAAAGTGAAATATTTGAAATTGGCCCATTAGCGCCCCCTAAAGACTGAGGAAAAGTTTACATGGGGAGCCAAACCAGCTCTACTGATCATATTCAATACAATTTGACTAACATTCTTCTATGGCTACGGGAACAAATCATCACACGACGGCGCCACCTCTGGCGTGGTGCTGCGTGGTGCGGGGCGGCGTGGTGCAGGGCGGCGTGGCGCAGGGCGGCGTGGCGCAGGGCGGCGTGGCGCAGGGCGGCGTGGCGCAGGGCGGCGTGGCGCAGGGCGGCGTGGCGCAGGGCGGCGTGGCGCAGGGCGGCGTGGCGCAGGGCGGCGTGGCGCAGGGCGGCGTGGTGCAGGGCGGCATGGTGCAGGGCGGCGTGGCGCGGGGTGGAGCGCACGGTGCGGGGAGCGGCGAGGGCCGTTTGACGGCGCTTGCGCCTTTAATTATTATTATAATTACTGTTGGTGCATATGGTGACAAGAACTAAAGGTACTGGTGTTAGCATAAGGACTATAGGTACTGGTGTTAGCATAAGGACTATAGGTACTGGTGGCATAAGGCCTATAGGTACTGGTGGCATAAGGCCTATAGGTACTGGTGGCATAAGGCCTATAGGTACTGGTGTTAGCATAAGGCCTATAGGTACTGGTGTTAGCATAAGGACTATAGGTACTGGTGGCATAAGGCCTATAGGTACTGGTGTTAGCATAAGGCCTATAGGTACTGGTGTTAGCATAAGGACTATAGGTAATGGTGTTAGCATAAGGCCTATAGGTACTGGTGGCATAAGGCCTATAGGTACTGGTGGCATAAGGCCTATAGGTACTGGTGTTAGCATAAGGACTATAGGTACTGGTGTTAGCATAAGGACTATAGGTACTGGTGGCATAAGGCCTATAGGTACTGGTGGCATAAGGACTATAGGTACTGGTGTTAGCATAAGGACTATAGGTACTGGTGTTAGCATAAGGACTATAGGTACTGGTGTTAGCATAAGGACTATAGGTACTGGTGGCATAAGACCTATAGGTACTGGTGTTAGCATAAGACCTATAGGTACTGGTGTTAGCATAAGACCTATAGGTACTGGTGTTAGCATAAGGCCTTGGTACATGCTAGAGACTGGCTTTAGCAGCAACACAATATAATACAATACAATAGAACACAGTACAACACAATGTGCATGGTGGTACCTGTGCTGCTGCAGCTCTGTCTCCAGGTGTCTGATGCGCTGCTGCAGCGTGGGGACAGTGTGCGCCTGCTCCTGCAGGAGACGCACTCGGTCCAGTCCTGCGCTCAGAGCCTGGCGGGCCTCCTCTGCTCGCCGCCTCCACACAGGAACAGTTAGAACCACAGTCTGAGCTTCACACACAGGTGTTTCTCAGAGGGTTTCTCACCTGATGTGAGCGTTCTCTTTCCGGAGCGCTGACTCCAGGGGCCGCAGCTTGCGCACCTCCTCAAACGCCCAGCGCAGCTCCTCCTCCAGGCGCTCCGTAAACTTCATGGCTTCTCGCAGCTGTCCGTCCCGCGCTGATCGGATCAGCTTCAGTTCCCGCAGCAGTGTGTCTCTGGCCTCTCGCCTCCAGGGGGCGCTCACAGCAGAGCTTCCTCTGATCCTGTGGGTGGGCACCAGTTTGCCTTCTCTGAAGCTGATGGAGGAGGGCGAGGACGTCCTGGTGCTGATGGTGCTGATGGAGGAGGGAGAGGTCAGGCGCCGGCTCCGCTCCTTCCTCAGAGCGACCTCCAGAGCTAAGCAGCGAGCGTCACTGCTCTGCAGAGCTGAGCGCAGGTCCTCCACCAGCTCCCTCAGAGCGACCACCTCCTCCTCTGCTGCTGCACGGACATTTACACACTCACTGATGACGCATCAACAGACTGTTGTTCAGATCAAACTACAGCCACAGTAGTAATAATAATAATAATAATATTAATAATATTAAGAACAAAAAGGAAGGTTTCTCACCCATCATCTGTACTTTAGTTAGCAGGTTTGCACCCAGATGAGAGTGAGAAACCTTCCTTTGTTTTGACTAATCCCTGTACGACTGAGATCACACAAATAATAATATAAATAATAATAATAATAATAATAATGCATAGTGCGTATAGTGTGCTATACCCAAAGGCATTATTCATTAGGAAGTGGTAAACTCCTGCTGTAGCCGCAGCTGCCCTGGGGCAGATTGACAGAAGCGAGGCAACCAATCTGTGTCATTGACCCCTCACCACTGATTATTTACACACAAACCAGACTTGTGGCGGATGAAGTGTCTTGCCTCAGGACACAACAACAGTTTGGCACTTTACAGCCGCAGCCGCCATCATAGTAACCAGGCCATGATAAAGTGCCTTTAATGAAGCCTCACTTTCATTGGTACAAAACACAAGTGACGTCACCACAGTGCTGTTGTAGCCACGGCTGCCCTGAGGCAGACTGGGTAAACTTAGACTTTAACAATGTTATATTATGGGTTCATTTGCTTGGTCTAACACATGTGACCTGTGTGCTCGTGTGGCATTGACAACACAAATACAGCTGGTTATAAATCACTCTTGGAAGATGCTGTTTATAAAAGTACGGAGGCCTACCTGCCTCTTCTGTGCACGTGCCTCTCGGTGCGCCTCGGGCACGTCCACACTGATCTTCAATCAGGTCAAAACTCACACACTTTTTCCTCCTTAGCCGCGGCCATCTCAGACGGATGTTCCTCTGCACCAGCTCCGTCTCCTCTGACACAGGGAGCCGCCACGAGCACCCGCCCCGTGTGCGCGCACTGCGGACGCGAAAGAAGCCACAGAGACGCGCGTGGAAGTCTTTGAAGGACAGCTGTGGTGGCAACTGCGCGCACACGTCCTCATCCTCCTGCTCTGGCCCCTCACTCTGCTCTGTCCGGGGCCCCTCCAGAGGCCCCTGACTCAGCCCCAGGACTGCACACAGACCTGTGAAGTCCTCCGCGCTCACGGTGTCCTCCTGTGCAGAGGACAGATGATGGAAGACTTCCTGCAGATACTGATCGATGCCTGTAGCGAGGACCACGATCTCGTTCTGTACCGCGGGGTCAGGGCCGTGGAACTGCGCCAACGCGCTCCGCAACCACTGGCTCTGACGCGCGGCTCTCGGGGCAGCATAAACACGCTCCATGGGGTCACTATGGTCCACTATGACTCACTATGGTCCACTATGGCTCACTATGGTTCACCTGGACGTGTGAGAACCACTCACTCCCACAGAGAGTTTACCACTGCGTGTATCTCCAGGATCCAGCCCCTGCCTCCACATATCAAAGACCTCCCTCCTCCCGCAGGGGGAGGTCCAGTCAGTGAGCAAGAGACACGCTGCATCTGTGGAAAGGCTCAAACAAACTCTTTCTACAGAAAGTATGAAGAAAAATGTATAATTATTGAAGAGAAAAGTGAAGACATCCTCATTTAAACATTAGGTATAATTTGTCATACAGGTTCTCAAACTGCTAGAGTCAACAACAGATATATTTGTTGATATTTGATTTATTTTTTCCTTATTATAAAGTTCTGTACCTGTAAAAGGTAAGCAGTAAAATAATACAGTAATTATCATGAAATTATGTAAATCCATAAGCGGTGACGAAGGCACTTGGTTTTCACCGCACCCTCAACACCAAACATTCCACGCAACTGTAACACAACACAACCAGTGCATGAAGAACCAGTGCATGAAGAACCAGTGCATTAGAACCAGTGCACGAGAACCAGTGCATGAGAACCAGTGCATGAGAACCAGTGCATAAAGAACCAGTGCATAAAGAACCAGTGCAGGAGAACCAGTGCATGAGAACCAGTGCATGAGAACCAGTGCAGGAGAACCAGTGCATGAGAACCAGTGCATGAGAACCAGTGCATGAGAACCAGTGCATGAAGAACCAGTGCATGAAGAACCAGTGCATGACAAACCAGTGCATGAGAACCAGTGCAGGAGAACCAGTGCATGAAGAACCAGTGCAGGAGAACCCGTCCCATAGCGACAGCATGAGGCGACGATGCTGACATAAAGTTCCCTCAAGCTGAAGATGGTCGGGCGGGGAAAAGAATGAGGGCTCTATTTTACACATACTTTTTGTTTTGTTTTTTTTGATCGAGACAATGCACATAAATGAACATCAGTATAAAAGAAATGTAAATATGCTGAAATTAAGCTGCAGGAGGTGGTGCTAGTGCATGTAGAGCTTTGTAAATGAAGATACCGGTTTGGAATCTTACACACAGTACATGACGTGAAGTAGGTTTCTGGACAAAAACCTTTATTAATACTGATTCAATTATTCTTTAATTTGTACCCCCTAACTGTTATCTAAAATCTCACACATGTTAGATAGTCCGAGCGTAGATAGTCCGAGCGTAGATAGTCAGAGCGTAGATAGTCAGAGCGTAGATAGTCCGAGCGTAGATAGTCCGAGCGTAGATAGTCAGAGCGTAGATAGTCCGAGCGTAGATAGTCCGAGTGTAGTAATCAGAGCGTAGATGGTCCGAGCGTAGATAGTCCGAGCGTAGATAGTCCGAGCGTAGATAGTCCGAGCGTAGATAGTCCGAGCGTAGATAGTCCGAGCGTAGATAGTCCGAGCGCAGATAGTCCGAGCGTAGATAGTCCGAGCGCAGATAGTCCGAGCGTAGATAGTCCGAGCGCAGATAGTCCGAGCCTAGATAGTCCGAGCATAGATAGTCCGAGCGCAGATAGTCCGAGCGTAGATAGTCCGAGCGTAGATAGTCCGAGCGTAGATAGTCCGAGCGTAGATAGTCCGAGTGTAGTAATCAGAGCGTAGATGGTCCGAGCGTAGATAGTCCGAGCGTAGATAGTCCGAGCGTAGATAGTCCGAGCGTAGATAGTCCGAGCGTAGATAGTCCGAGCGCAGATAGTCCGAGCGTAGATAGTCCGAGCGCAGATAGTCCGAGCGTAGATAGTCCGAGCGTAGATAGTCCGAACGTAGATAGTCCGAGCGTAGATAGTCCGAGTGTAGATAGTCCAAACGTAGATAGTCCCAGCGTAGATAGTCCCAGCGTAGATAGTCTGAGTGCAGATAGTCCGAGCGTAGATAGTCCGAGCGTAGATAGTCCGAGTGTAGATAGTCCGAGCGTAGATAGTCCGAACGTAGATAGTCCGAGCGCAGATAGTCCGAGCGTAGATAGTCCGAGCGTAGATAGTCCGAGCGTAGATAGTCCGAGCGTAGATAGTCCGAGCGTAGATAGTCCAAACGTAGATAGTCCCAGCGTAGATAGTCCGAGCGTAGATAGTCTGAGTGCAGATAGTCCGAGCGTAGATAGTCCGAGCGTAGATAGTCCGAGTGTAGATAGTCCGAGCGTAGATAGTCCGAGCGTAGATAGTCCGAGCGCAGATAGTCCGAGCGTAGATAGTCCGAGCGTAGATAGTCCGAGCGTAGATAGTCCGAGCGTAGATAGTCCGAGCGTAGATAGTCCGAGCGCAGATAGTCAGAGCGTAGATAGTCCGAGCGTAGATAGTCAGAGCGTAGATAGTCCGAGCGTAGATAGTCCGAGCGTAGATAGTCCGAGCGTAGATAGTCCGAGCGTAGATAGTCCGAGCGTAGATAGTCCGAGTGTAGATAGTCCGAGTGTAGTAATCAGAGCGTAGATGGTCCGAGCGTAGATAGTCCGAGCGTAGATAGTCCGAGCGTAGATAGTCCGAGCGTAGATAGTCCGAGCGTAGATAGTCCGAGCGCAGATAGTCCGAGCGTAGATAGTCCGAGCGCAGATAGTCCGAGCGTAGATAGTCCGAGCGTAGATAGTCCGAACGTAGATAGTCCGAGCGTAGATAGTCCGAGTGTAGATAGTCCAAACGTAGATAGTCCCAGCGTAGATAGTCCCAGCGTAGATAGTCTGAGTGCAGATAGTCCGAGCGTAGATAGTCCGAGCGTAGATAGTCCGAGTGTAGATAGTCCGAGCGTAGATAGTCCGAGCGTAGATAGTCCGAGCGCAGATAGTCCGAGCGTAGATAGTCCGAGCGTAGATAGTCCGAGCGTAGATAGTCCGAGCGTAGATAGTCCGAGCGTAGATAGTCCGAGCGTAGATAGTCCAAACGTAGATAGTCCCAGCGTAGATAGTCCGAGCGTAGATAGTCTGAGTGCAGATAGTCCGAGCGTAGATAGTCCGAGCGTAGATAGTCCGAGTGTAGATAGTCCGAGCGTAGATAGTCCGAGCGTAGATAGTCCGAGCGCAGATAGTCCGAGCGTAGATAGTCCGAGCGTAGATAGTCCGAGCGTAGATAGTCCGAGCGTAGATAGTCCGAGCGTAGATAGTCCGAGCGCAGATAGTCAGAGCGTAGATAGTCCGAGTGTAGATAGTCCGAGCGTAGATAGTCAGAGCGTAGATAGTCCGAGCGTAGATAGTCCGAGCGTAGATAGTCCGAGCGTAGATAGTCCGAGCGTAGATAGTCCGAGCGTAGATAGTCCGAGCGTAGATAGTCCGAGCTTAGATAGTCCGAGCTTAGATAGTCCGAGCTTAGATAGTCAGAGCGTAGATAGTCCGAGCGTAGATAGTCCGAGCGTATATAGTCCGAGCGTAGATAGTCCGAGCGTAGATAGTCCGAGCGTAGATAGTCCGAGCGCAGATAGTCCGAGCGTAGATAGTCCGAGCGTAGATAGTCCGAGCGTAGATAGTCCGAGCGTAGATAGTCCAAGCGTAGATAGTCCGAGCGTAGAGCGTAGATAGTCCGAGCGTAGATAGTCCGAGCGTAGATAGTCCGAGTGTAGATAGTTCGAGCGTAGATAGTCCGAGCGTAGATAGTCCGAGCGTAGATAGTTCGAGCGTAGATAGTCCGAGCGTAGATAGTCCGAGCGTAGATAGTCCGAGCGTAGATAGTCCGAGCGCAGATAGTCCGAGCGCAGATAGTCCGAGCGCAGATAGTCCGAGCGCAGATAGTCCGAGCGCAGATAGTCCGAGCGTAGATAGTCCGAGCGTAGATAGTCCGAGCGTAGATAGTCCGAGCGTAGATAGTCCGAGCGTAGATAGTCCGAGTGTAGTAATCAGAGCGTAGATGGTCCGAGCGTAGATAGTCCGAGCGTAGATAGTCCGAGCGCAGATAGTCCGAGCGCAGATAGTCCGAGCCTAGATAGTCCGAGCATAGATAGTCCGAGCGCAGATAGTCCGAGCGCAGATAGTCCGAGCTTAGATAGTCCGAGCGTAGATAGTCCGAGCGTAGATAGTCCCAGCGTAGATAGTCTGAGTGCAGATAGTCCGAGCGTAGATAGTCCGAGCGTAGATAGTCCGAGTGTAGATAGTCCGAGCGCAGATAGTCCGAGCGTAGATAGTCCGAGCGTAGATAGTCCGAGCGTAGATAGTCCGAGCGCAGATAGTCCGAGCGTAGATAGTCCGAGCGCAGATAGTCCGAGCGTAGATAGTCCGAGCGTAGATAGTCCGAGCGCAGATAGTCCGAGCGTAGATAGTCCGAGCGTAGATAGTCCGAGCGTAGATAGTCCGAGCGCAGATAGTCCGAGCGTAGATAGTCCGAGCGTAGATAGTCCGAGCGTAGATAGTCCGAGCGTAGATAGTCCGAGCGCAGATAGTCCGAGCGTAGATAGTCCGAGCGCAGATAGTCCGAGCGTAGATAGTCCGAGCGTAGATAGTCCGAGCGTAGATAGTCCGAGCGTAGATAGTCCGAGCGTAGATAGTCCGAGGCGGTCCCGCAGGTCTCTCCCTCAGACCAGTCTCTCCAGAGGATACGATGTAAGCTAGCTCTGTTCAGGGCTTGGTTTCTTCTTTGATCATGTTGTGGCTTTAGTTCCTCTTCTCTTCCTCACTGTTGTGTGGTTTGGGCTGTTTTGCTGTGTCTGCAGTTACAGCCAGAGGAGTTATAGCCACTTATGCTAACATGCTACTGTGTTTAGCAGCGCTGTAGAGGCTGTGATTGGAGGAGAGCGGGCGTCACGCTAAAGTCTCTACTCAGCACTTTTTACTGAATTCATACACAGCTGAATCAATGAGCTCAAGTTTTACATTAAATTACTGATTTTAATACAGCCATGTATTATTGCTTTTTACTATGTATGTGTGTAGTAATAAGCATTTTTATGAACTCATTAGAAAATAAATCGAGTATAACTTATTTAAAGCTTCTTGTTAAAGGTTAAAGCTTTGGTCATGATCACCTCAGTTAGA